TCTGGCCTTGCAGTAATAGGCCTTGGGTTACTGCTGGTAATCCTGTCTTCCTCTTGTGAGATTAGAGGAGGTCAGAACATGTGGCCTCCTTGTCGTTTTTGCACCTCATAATGAGTGGTCTCTCCAGGCAGAAACACGTGAGACATATCAACATAGAGGTCTAGGGTTCAGAATAGCAGAGCTAGTCATATTCATAAGGGGACCATTAGTTAGGAACCTTGGGAATAGATGAAAGTGCCTAAGAAAAGGAGAAAAATCAAGGACAAACAAAATCTTGGAAAATGTCTCTAAGGTAAGTTGAAAAACCTGAGCCAATGGAGAAAATGAAAAGGAATACTGACAGAGAAATTATGGAAAAACTGAAAGAAGGCAGCAGAGCCACAAAAGACAATGGAGAAGAGAATCTCAAAGACTGGTTCATCGATGACAAATACTGCAGAGAAGTGCAGTATAGTAAACTAAGAATACAAAGACATGTCTGCCACTAAATTGCAATTACCTAGGCAATCTACTTCCGTAGTGATACTGCCTCGAAAACCCAAGGAGGGGTCACTATGAGTCAGGTCCGACTCCAAGGCACATAACAACAACAATAACAGGCAAGCCAAAGTTTCCTTTGAGCTATATGAAGTTGCAGAATAAAAAGTGTACTCAGCTATCTAAACTCCTTTAAAGACCTTACTTTGTATGTTCTATAGAGAATGAGTAGAATTGAGATTTAAAAGATGTAGATGGATTTGGAAATAAGCTGAGTTTTGAAAAAGCAGGTTCAATGAAAACAAAAAAAAAAGAATCCTTTGCATTTTGCTGGCTCCTCCTCCATTACACAACATATGCCTCAATATGCAGTCGTGAGGTCTCTCCTCTTCCTGCTGCTCTCTGTTTTTAGGTGATCTCACCCCTCCCATGGCTTCAAAGTACTTCAAAATTATCAGCCCAATTGCTGATAATTTTCAAATGAGCATCTCCAGCTCAGATTTCTTTTAAGAGATATAAAACCATATGTTTTTACAATTTTCTACTTGCCTTCTCTTTTTTGGATGTCTTTTAGCTCCTCAAATCTGTAAGTCCAAACTGAACAGATCTCTCTCCCCAAATCTGTCTTTCCCCAGTATTCTCTATCATAAGTGAAAAATCTGGGAGTTATCCGGAACATCATCCTCTCCCTCACTGGCCTCACTCACCAACCTGTCCTATCAGTCATTAAATACTACCTAGTACCTCTCTCCAATCCATCGCCCCTTCTCCATTTTTGCTGTTACTATACCAGTCAAAGCCACTACCATCATCTCTCCTCTGGACTCTAGCAACAGCATCCTAATTGGTCTTTTCAGACAAAATCCTTCACTCCACTTCCTTTCCTCACTTTACCACTGTCCAGCAAATCCTTTTGCAGCCTGAAAACAGTGACTTGAAATAAAAATCTAATTATATCATTCCTCTGCTTCATTAAAAAAAAACTTTTAAAGACTGGATTCAATCTTAAGAAGAATGGGAAAAGGCATTGCATGATGTGGCCTGTGCTCTGTCAGCCTCACACGGCACTGTTTTCTCTCCTTCACTTAGTAAACTCCAGCCACCCTGACTGACTTCTCTTTCCTCTCCTTAAGACTCACAAGACAATCTCTTTCCAAAGGTTGTCTCTTCTATTCAGAATGCTTTCCTCACTTCCCATTCCCCTTTGCCTCATTAACTTCTCCTTAATATTCAGCCTAAGCATCAGTTTCTTGGGGAAACCTTCTCTGATCTCTAAACTGGGGCAAGTTCTACTGATTCCATACAACTATATTTAGTTATCTATCATTTAGTGTCTGTCTCTTCCATTATGTAAACACAATGAGGATAAAGATTGTATCTTTCTTCTTCACCACTAAATCCCCAGAGCCTAGTTCAGTCCCTCGTACTCAAATTTTTAAATAAATTAATGAAGTAGAGGTCATGAGTATAGTCTCAACTTTCCAAAAGATTGACTTTTTCTCCTTTACACTTTGCTAGATTTTTCAAATTCTCCACACACAACAAAAGGAATGAAAAGGAGAAGCAAGTTATGGAGCAAGTAAAACAGATTACTTTATTCAAGTCATAACCCCAAAAGTAAAATCTATACTTGATTATTGCTGGATTTCCTTGAAACTCTTATAAGATATAAACAAAACAAACAGCACTCAAAAAATTACTTCGCAAAATGCCCTCAAACCAAACTAAACATGCTGCCATTGAGTCATTCTGACACAAAGTAACTCTCATTGGGTTTCCAAGGCTCAGTCTTCATGGAAGCAGACTGCCTCATCCTTCTTCTATGGAGCAGCTGGTGCGTTAGACCACTGACCTTTTGGTTAGCAGCCAAATGCCTTAACCACTATACCACCAGAGCTCCTTTATGCCCTAGCAGATAGTGTAAAAAAAAAAAAAAAAAAAAAAAATTAGTTGCCTTTGACTCAATTCAGAATCAAAGTGACAGATAAAAAAGTGGTACAAAATCAATGTAAATGAGCTCTTACTTAATTATATAATTATTTGATTATTTAATTACATACATAATTATATATATAAGACAAACATGATTTGACAGCTGAACTGCTTTGTAACTGAGATTTGGCAACTAGACTTTTAAAATAAGCTTTTGCTTTCCTAAAAGCCTCATTACTTTGCACATAAGACGACAATAGTGAATTCAGAGATTAAGTGTGAAGACAAATGTATTTCTATTAAATATTTGAAAAAAAAATTTAAGTCTTACTTAATTTAAGTCAACTTCCTAGGTTGACTACAACCTAGGAATGTGTTTTCATCTGCATTTCTACTTTGCAGTACTTAATGCCTTCTTAGGGAAAGGAATGGCATCCAAGTTCTTTCTCATATTTCATGGCCTCTGTACATGCCATTCCCTCTGCCTGAAGCACTCCTTCACTCCTGATCCCCCTTCCCTATCCTCCAAGCCAATTCCTAGTCATCCTCCACTTCTCACAATCCTTTCTTGATCCTTCTCCCAAAAATCTAGATGAGATACACTCCCTAAATGCTCCCTCAGCATTCTTTACATCACCTATTACAGCATTTAACACTGTACTATAACCACTATTTAAGTGGCTACATCTTCCACTAGACAACTAGCTTTAAAGGGCGGGAAACATACATTACTCACCACTACATCTCCAAGGCCTAGCATAAAACAGGCACTCAAATACTAAGATGACTGGGAATACTGGTTAGAAAAGAGATTAACAAGGAATACACAATTCCTAAGTACCTAAACGGGCAGCCCCAGGGATACAGGTGTGGAGAGACAACTCAGGGACACCCAAAGCAGCAGGTCGGAAGAGCAGGAGAAAGGGGATTAAAAGCCAGGAACCCAGACAGAAGAGCAGTCAGTCCCAGGGATACAGGTGAGGAGAGACAACTCAGGGATGCCCAAAGC